GCAGCTGCACAGCTAGGATAACATTTCTTGCTGAGGAGGTGGCTTGGTATTCATTATTTGGGCTCTGGTTCAGAGTTCAGTGGTCATTTTAAGCTTTCTTAAAGAACTGATTGTCTTTGTGTTCAGGGAAAGACCATATGTTCTCCTGCTTAATCATTACTCTAAAACCCTTACTAGTGTTCTTGACATGACTGTATAGTCATTGATTTGGCCTTAACATAACAACTAGTGGAAATCTTCTAGACATAGAAGGATCCTGAGTGATCAAAAGATAATTGGAGTTTTTAGTTTAACTAGCATACAAGTAACATAGATAGAACCTAAATCTCAACTGCTTTACCATTTCAAAATTCTTTAAACTTATAAAACCTTTAAAATGATGAATATAGATTATAAAATTTTAAAATTTCTTTTGAAGCAATATAAATATTAAATATATTTTCTACATTTTCCAGGAAATTGTACCATTTTATATAACCTAGAGAGTATGAAGACAATACAAGGTATAGTAGATTAAGTCGGGAAATGAAGAATATAAACACAGTCATTGAGTGAATATTATAAAAAATACATTGTCTAATGTCATCCTCGTAGCAAGTGTAGAAGTTTGTCCCCATTTTACATGGGGGGAGGTGGGGCTAAAGAATCAGAGCAGTTGGGGAACTTGCCCGAGATCACACAGCTAGTAAAATTCAGAACTGGGATTTGAATCCAGTCCTACCTTACTTGAAAGCTCTCGCTCTTTCTAAATGTCACATTGCATTCTCCTCAAAGCCAAGTTTAAGATTCATCTTTCACATAATAATTTTCCCAATGAATTTTAATTCCCTTGGCATGGATTTATACAATGTGTACTATACCATTGCATACTTATATATTTAAATATTTTGTAATTTTATGACTTTTCAGGGCTATTAGATGTATATAGTCCCCAAGTCCAGACACTATATTCTCTACTGTCTCTTATGCCCCCATGGCAAGAACAACTCAGGGCAAATTATACGACTTTAATACCATTCATGTCAGGGTACAATTGCAGAGATCATTTGATTGTTCACTTTTTATACTGTACCTATATGTATTGTTAAAAAATATATAAATACATACATGTAGATGATTATTTATACTTAGTATTGAAAAATGTAGTTATAAATGTCCAAAGTGTGTAAGATATTGGGGGAGAAGTATAAAGAATGCATGCATAATTATATGATACCATATCTGGCTTTACTGTTTGAATTCTTGCAGATAAAGAAAATGAAATAGGGTAGGCAGTTTAATTATTTTTCTGTTTATAATAGTAATGGATAAGGTTTCAAAAATCTGAGAAAAGATGGCTAAGAAACAGAATAAGATGAATATAAAGCTGCTAAATACTTAACACTTCATTTCAAAGACTTGAAGAAAAATTATAAAGGATACTGACAACGTATACCGCAGAAAAAGATGGCAAAATGTATGCAAGGTACACATTAATGTGATGATAAAAAAGATATGCCATATTTAAGAAAATGGGAGAACATTATAATCTTTAGTTAGAACTATCTTCCAAAATATTACTACAAGTACAGGTTATGTACACAGGCTATTATATCAGTAGACTAATGGTAGCTCAAACAGGATTAAACATGGCCAAATCAATATGATTGTATTTTCATTCTTTCTGGCAGATTATTTAGTATATAAGTATTCCTGTAGTACTATAAACAGGCATTATTACCTAGGAAAAACAATTTTGCTGTGAAAAACTCTTTGTTTCACGGTAGAGTGAATTCATATAGCTTACACTGAAACAAGGCATTTGAGAAATATAAAAAAATTAGGTGAATAAAATAAGTGAAATAATAATGGAAAAACACATGTAACTCTCAATGTTCAGGTTGTGTATAACAGCAAAGCATTAAAAGGGGTCCAGAAATTAGAACTGGGAAACCCAAAAATGCAGAGAAGTTGAGAATCATGACAAGGCATGGGAATCAGGATAATTTTTCAGAAGCACACACAATTAAAGTTCAAGATGAGGCAGTATGGTGAGAAACCAAGCAGTAAGCAAGCAGAAGTGAGTCTAAGCAGATGTGAGAAGGAAGTCTAATCATTGGGTCAGAAACTGGGCAGGCAAACAGAAGATTAAGAAGACATATTTACTAGGGTTCATGGCAAAGAAGGAGAACCTGGATGACACAGGTTCCAAAACAGAAATGCAAATCAAAGAGTCTGAACTTGGTTAGTGGTCTGGAACCAGAAAACTCACAATAGCCAGGAGAATAGAAGAAAACAATTTGAATCTGTGACAAGCTGTCTCCAAAAGTGTCTCCACAATTACCATGGAGAAATTTCATAAAGAAATAAGTATTTCTAGGTCTAGAATAGAAATAGGAAGATACGCCCTGGCTGGTGTAGCTCAGTGGATTGAGCACGGGCTGTGAACCAAAGCATCGCAGGTTCGATTCCCAGTCAAGGCACATGCCTGGGTTGCAGGCCATGGCCCGCAGCAACCGCACATTGATGTTTCTCTCTCTTTCTCCCTCCCTTCCCTCTCTAAAAATAAATAAATAAAATATTTTTTAAAAATAGGAAGATGCATCTGACCAGACACAGCGTATTGCCAGGTTTTCATGATGATGATAATTTAGCAGTTTTACCTACAAAATTTCAAAGTTGGTGCTCCCTCCATCTCTACCACAAAATAGTTCCTTACCTGTGCCCTCAGCCCTATCTCTAGAAATCTGCCAACTATATTCCATGTAACTATGATTTGCAATTGCTTTATATCTCTTCCAGTTCACCTACTTGATTGCCCTTATTCTCATGACAATTTCTTCAACTCAATTCAGTGAGGTATTTTTCTTAAACAAGTAATTAACAACAACAATCCAACAAGTATGATTCTCCCATACTTGTTTTTTGTTAATATCTGAAGGAGATTTTTTAACTTTCTGGGACCTTTCAACTATGAAAACTTATTACAAACTTGAATCTCCAAGTCAAAGGTTTCCCTTCCCCCTCACTGTCTCTGTGCACTTTTACTCCCCTCCTGCCTCCCTTCCAGAAGCTTTGATTCTTTTAGTGTTGAGGAAAGGGAGGATGGGAGAGGAGAAAAGGGCAGTCTCTTTTTTTGGCTAGACTCCACTGCAAGCCCCTTTGGCAGATGATGCCTTCTGTGGGCAGGCATTCAAATACTGACTCTCTTGCAGGTACATGTGAGAATTTTTGGAAGAGCTGAGCAAGGCCACTGGTAGGAACTGGTACCAGAACATCACCTGCTAGAAGGCAGGATTCTGGCTGTACTAGGGATTCAATTTCCAGCTCCCTGCTTCACTCAGGTCTAGCAACCTCTCCTATTATTAAAACTTCATGGTTATTACTCATTTCCAGGTGCAGTAATCACCGAGGCTGATATGTATTTGTGTGCAATGACTGTTCTGCCTTTGAGTTCTCTATTTCCAACACACACACATACAAATGGGGAATGGTATTACACAATGCAGGAAGTCTGGTCCAGTAGATTTGAGAAAGAACCCTGTTACATGCATTCTGAAAAATGCTCACCAGATAATTGTATTATGAACTGAATTGTGTTCTCCAACCAAAATGTATATGTTGAAGCCCAACCCCCAAATGTGATATTTGGAGATAAGGCATTTAGGGAGTAATTAATGAGATTACAAGAGTGGGGCCCTAATCTCATAGGATTTATAAGAAGAGGCAGATACCACAGAGATCTTTTTTCTCCATACATACACAAAAAGGAAAGAACACAGCAAGAACATCACTGTCTACAAGCCAGGAAGAGAAATCTCACCAGGGACAAAACCTTATACACCTTGATCTTGGACTTGTAGCCTTCAGAACTATGAGAAATTTTTGTTTAATCCACCCAGCCTGTAGCATTTTATAGCATCCCAAGCAGTCTGGTGATCTGTGCTCATGTCCATCCCCACTGAGGAACTCTGTACCAGACTTTCTTAAACTCTTTAACAACTGTAACCACAATGGGAAGCCCCAATTCTGAGTCACTGGAGAATATCATATAAAGCTATATTGTTATAAAATCATACTCTAAATTTACCTAGGCCTTGGATAGCATTTTCTTTATCATTTGCTCATCCTTCAGTTTCTTTACTCTACCCATTCCAGTCCTAGTCTTCCTCAATTCTGGCTGATAACCATAAGGACCTATTACATATGAAATATTAAGATGCTATTTATCCTATGTCCTCTTTCCTCTAAACTTCAATTTTTACTCTTCATTCATACTTTTTTTGTATCTTTTTCTTCTACATCAGAGAAAAGATGTTCCTTTTCAAGGTAACCCCCTTTACCTATTTTAGATCCTCCTTCTTCTGACCTCTAACCACTACCCAGCACTTTCAGCTTGCCTCCATTGACCTCCTTCCTCTCTACCATCAAAATTACATAAGTCAAAAAGCTGCCCCTCAGTGCCTTGTTTTCTGATGACTGGTAAATTGGCTTCTTTCCAATATTTCTATCTGGAAGAAAAAAATGACCCAGTATCCAGTCACCAGAATTAAAGAGCAAGGCAGTGGACATAAATTCAGAATTCATTATCAGAGCAGTAATAGTTCATTTGTTTGTTCATTCTCTTCAGCCTATTTTTATTTTAAGGACCTATTATGTGTCAGGTTCTGTTAGGCCTGGCATGTAATAAGTGCTTAAAAGCACTTATAAATGGATAGATAAACTATGACCTTGATGCTATATCTCCTAAACATGTTTGTTTTCTTACTTTAGCAAGCTGAGAGGACATCCTTTAGGATAAAAAAATGATTAATGAATAAATGGATGATTAACATTGTTCTTGTCTTTGAGGGGCCGCGGTCATGAAATGGGTGAATTTTATAGAAGTTAGAATAGAAAGAAATACTCAAGTATAAGAACTTAGTATTAGAAATAGCCAGGGAAAGAAAAAGAAGAAGTGATGAACACAACAAAAGACTTATGATGAAGGAAACAGAGATGGTGAGGTGCTTCAAAATTACCTAAAAGGGCTGTCAAAAATATCTATCTGCTGGCTTCACTGCAAACAGACTCAATTGAAAACTCTGTGACTGTGGCTCCAGAAACCGCCAATGCTCAGATCACACAGGTCATTCTTCTCACATTCTAGTGTCCTGAAAAACAAAGGAGTCATTTCAAAGAAAAGGCAGGCAGTAATAAAAAACTCCATAAGAACGTAGGCACTTAAAAATACAGAAACGTAAGATTTGCTCCAAATGTGACAAAAATCCTGCTGATTGTCCCATTGATAGTGTAAAAAGATATTTTAGTAATCATTCACTAAGGATGGTAGAGTAGGAACCTTGGGCCTGGGTCCTTGATGGCTGTGTCTAGCATCTGAATCAATCATGCTGTCACCTACCTCTGAACTTCTAATGTGACAATAATAAACTCCTGGTCATTAAAGTAAGTAAATATGTACATTCTTGTTTGCAGTACATGTACATGTAATAAGGAGTAAAGAATGAATACTTATGAGTAATAATGACAACATTTACGAGCACTTAGTACACAACAAGTACTCTGTTAAGAACTTTATATAGATATCTCACCAAAATGTCACAACAACCCTATGTAACTCACCATTATTAATGGGAAAATAAATGAGTTCCATTTATGTAGGTGAAAGATATAATACTAGTAAATAATAAAGGGATAAGACAATAGATGTGGTAAATTTGTTAAATTCCAATTATTTTTTCCTGGCATTTCTAATGCCCATCTTCTTTTGTATTAATTTAAATCCTATATATCATTCATTGCACAAGTCCAAATCCTCTTTTTCCTCAACATTTAAACCTGAGTTTTCCTTTTTGTTTTAATTCTATAGAATTTAGATTTAGGATCATACTTTATGACCTAGATTATACAACATTTGGGGTAGAAGAAATGCCTTATACCCAGAAGAGTACAGAGGGTAGAAAAAAGTGCCTTATACCTAGAAGAGTACAGGGTGTTAAATAGTTCCTATCAAATGATGACATCTAATCATTTTGCATTTTTTCCTCTATAAAAATCTTCCATTATGTGACTTGAAAATTCTTATTTTAGGCTTACCTATAATCATACTTCATTTAATTCAGCAAATGTAATTAATTTGTTACTAATAACACTTCTCTGTAGTTTTCAGCTAAGTAATATTTCTCTTGACATCTCTCTCTGGTTATCAGGTTAATGGAAATTTGAGAACATATACAGCTACTTGTTTAGGATGCAGTGAATATTCTGCCTCCTTGCCTCCCTACAGCTGTCAGTTCTCCTTAGCATTCTGCAATGATCAGAACTGACACGTTCACATATACATGTTTGTATTTGAGGAAATGACATGGTTTTAAAAATATGCTGCTGTTGGCATGTCTTTATTTGGTCCTATTGCTAGATATATATGACAGCTTCTTGAGGAAATATAGATCCTAATATTTCCCTTTATATTTGATTATATTGAGGATTTTAGAAAACTGTCTTCATGAGCTATACATAATTAGTTCATGTTGATCAACTTGTCAGAAAAGATGTCAGTAGTTTAGATTTACTCCACTAAAATGAATGTACTTTAATGATTTGCAAAATACAGTATTTTGAATACATGACCTATATTCAATGTTTACAACCTAAATAGTAACTGGACATAAGATTTAAATACTTTCATAAATTTTGCATTGTAACTAAAAAGATATTCAAAGAGTATTAACAGAACTTTTAAAATTAAGTCTTTTGACAATCAATTGCCAAAAGATTGTCAAATGACTTGACGATACTATGCTATTCTTATTATGCAATGATATATTTCTGGATCAATTAAATCTATGGGATGAGGTCTAACATTAAGAGGATATGGTTATATATTTAGTAACATGTTTGAATTCAAGTAGTTCCATCTTTTTATTAGAAAACACTAGTTTAGCAAACAAATATTTTCTTGAGCTACACCCTGAGTGAGACATATGCCATTAAGGGTGTTTCAATACTAAACTTTTGGAAAAAAGAAAAAAATGAATTTCCTAATGTAACCTGTACAGTTATTTCTATATTGATTCAGCCTTTATTTGCTATTTAAGCAATGAAAATATAAAGCTAAACTACACAGTACAATCATCTAGGACTGGAACAATAAAAGTATATCACTGCATGTGACTCACATTTCATTAAAATGCACATAAATACATTCTTGGATATACATGTGTATAATCTCCATAAATAAAAACTCTTTTGAAATCATGATGGAGATGCTGAGTAATTTTTCATGACCACAACACTTTAAGAGCGTATATTTTATTTTCTGGAGCTACAACAAACCCACAAAGTGAACAGATTCTAGTTCAACCTGTTATACATTTTGCTAATGTACTATAGCAATGATTCATACATAGATTAACTTTATGTCACATTCTTGATTAAAGTAGAATACATAATTCAGTTTTCTATTGCCACTTCCTTGGAGGAAGAGTTGGACAAAAGCCAACGATTCTTAAACGTCTCTAAGCCATTTTGAAAAGTTAATCTGTTCTGTTAAGTTTTGAAATAACGTCAGGAAGGACTATGGTACCACACTAACCAATTCCTTAACAGTGACTAACTTTGCTTGCCAAGGGCACAGCTCAAAGGGTTGGTAATGCATGTCCTGGTAAAATATGTTAATTCATAAAAAATTATTTTCAACAGGATTAACTTAAAGAATTTTTCCTTTCTAAACTTTATATATCTTATTTCAAAGCCTTTAAAAATATTTAAATACAAATGCTACCAGAGAATGAATATACATAATAAAATCCTTCGAATTACCTGTGTGCTTTTAAGACGTTACGAATATTTTTTTCCAGTCTCAGAATTAAGAGAAAGGAGGCAACTGCAGAAATTATCTTTTTATTCTGATTAAGAGGTGTTGAAAACAATACTGACAAGGTCTCTGAATGAGCGCTGATGATTAGTTCAAAAATCTAGAGATTAGAAGCTGGAGCGAGGTATTTTAGGGGAGACACTAATCTTTACATGTGTCTGCGTGTAGGAAGGAAAAACCCGTTTTATTTTTTAAAGTAGATGTCACAGCCCAGGGTTTTTTATTGACTTGTAAAACCTCTTGAACGTTGGGGCAAAGCAGGCTTAGCATCTAAATTCCGCATGATAACTCGGTGTTTTTTTGTCTTTTCCCCACAGGAAGGGAGGGTGAGGGGTAAAGATGGTACCAGTGAACTAAAAGAGCCAACAGCTTGGCATGGGTAGAAAAAGCAAACCCAGAACACCGGGATTTTTAAGCGCGACTCCTGAGGGACCGGTTTGCACCAGCGGTACGCCGGCATTAACCCTCTGGGCGCTGCAGCGGGATCCCAGCCAGGTCTCTGCGGGCCCGACCCTAAGCAACAGAGACCGGGCGTCCAGCACTCGAAGGGATGGGATGGGCTCTCCTTTCCTAAGAGGGAGCGAGCTGCGAGGCACTTCGGTCGTCCAGCGCTGGATTCAAGACCCGGGACCCGCGTGGAGTCCGGTAGGGAGTGGAAAAGAGGTGCTTCGAGGAGGCACTCAAAGGTCCGCCGACCAGTGGTCAGACTTAACCTGTGGTCCCCAGCAGCGCGGGCCCTCCCACGCCCTATGGCCCAGCTCCTGGGCTCTGGAGGGGTGCGGGCGGAGGCTGGTTTGGCTGGGCCGTAGGTGAAAGACGTCCGCCTGCGGCAGTCAATGCTCTCCAGCCTTCCTACTCGCAGTAGTCCGGCCCCGCGCCGACTGAGCCCAGTGACTGACAGAGTTACAGCCTCGCGCGCCACAGCCACCCCCTCCCCCGCCCCCGTCCGTTCCCCACCCCCCGCCCTGATACGTCATGGAAACACGGACGTCAGAACCGCCCAGCCAATCGCAGGCAGCGGCAGGAGGAAAGGAGTTAGAGGCAGGGGGCGGGGCAGCGGCCACTCAGGACGCTCAGGAAAGGAAGAGAGGGAGGGGCGCGCGGAGGCGTGAGTCCCCCGCCCCGCACTCCAGCCACCCTTTCCCGACCGCTGGGCAAGTTCTAATCGCCAGGTGCGCGCTCGCCGACGGGGACGCGCTCGCCGGGTCCTCCCCTTAAACGCCCTCTGTACTCCGCTCGGCTCCCAGGCTCAGTCAGAGCCTTGCTACCTCGGCGCGCGCACGCGCGCGCGCGCCTGCCCGCCCGCCCCCAGGCTCCCCGCGGGCCGCATCACGTGACCGCGCCCAGCCAAGGCGGCGGCGGCGGCGGCGCGAGCTTCGGCGGCAGCGGCGGCAGCGGGAGCAGCTGCGCCGCCAGCGTGGAGCGAGAGGCGTGTGGGTGTGAAAAGAAGGGAGCACCAGACCGGAACGGGTGAGAGTTCTCCTTCCCTTGCCTATCCCGAAAGTCTTGAGGGCCACCCGGTGCAAACGGACTCATGCCCTAAGCAGCGCGCAGTCCCCTTGTGCTCAGCAGTCCTCTCCGCGGGCCCCGCCCCGAGCGGGCCGGGCTGCGGTGCTCACCAAGGGGGCTGCACCCCGCCTGCCGCTGCCGTTGCGGATGGCGGGGTGAGGCTGCCGGTGCTGAGTGCGGCGCGCCCTGTGTGCGGCTTTTCGGAGCCTAGGAGGCGGGTCTTGCGGGGACGCGGGCGGCCACTCGGTGGCTGCCGGGCTCTGGGCGGGGGCCGGGCGCCGCCTCCTCCTGCTCCGCCGCCTCCTCACAGTGAAGCGTGAGTAGGGAGCCCCAGCTGGTGGACGCCGAGCGTCTCGGCTCCGTGACCGCCTCATTCTCTAGGTGCAATCGCACCTCCGCGTGGCGCCCCGAGCCCTAAAAGCCGGCTGCGGACACTCCAAGGAACGAGCCCCCATTCTCTGCGCTTCCCGCTGTCACTTACCCTAACCTCGACCCTCCTGTAGGCTCCTTTTCCTTTACTCCTTCGGAAAATGGTTCCTGCTGCCCGGCGAGGTGAGTGGCGGCCGCTGTCCGCCCGCGGCCGGGGCGATGGGACAAGTCACCTGCGGGAAGGCCGGGCGGAACACGAGGGTCAGGGCGTCGCGGAGAGGGCCCTGACAGCTGGGGGCCCCGCGAACTGCGGCCGCTTCGGCGGGTTCGGGAGAAGCCGTCCGGGGCGTTCCGGGGGCCTCTCGCAGGTTGTCTCCTGCCGCGCCCGCACCAGGAGATCGTAAAGGTGAGCGGGTTCCTGGGCGTGCGCTTCAGCACCGGGTCCGGCGAGAGGCCCCGCCCAAGACCCGAGGGACCGGGCTCAGTGGGGCTTGGTGTGTACACCCGCAGGTCTCCGAGCCGCCTCGTCCAAGAGGTAGCTCATCCAGTCGCCGGCCGCCCCCGCCCGGCGCTTGGTGACCTTGAGGGCAGCGGTGGCCGGCCCTCTTTCCCCGCGTCTGGAGAGGGTCACCCCATTAATCTCCGGCTTCGAACCCACTCGGTCTCCGCAGGGGACGCCTCGTTGGACCCTGTTCGGTGATGATTGATTCGTGTTACACCGGACAGTGATTCGCTGGGAGTTCGAGAGCCGCCGTCTCGCCTTTCTCCGGGCGTTCTGTCCCTTCGCGCCCCCAAGGATGTTCCCGGTTGCTTCCGATTTTCGCTTTGGGATTTAGTTTAGGAGAACAAAAAAAATATTCTGCGTTCTCCAACTCCCTCTTTGGAAAGGGTCAGTGAAAAAGAACCGCATTCCAGTTACGAGGTTGGGTGTGTGCTCTCTCTATTCCATCCTGCAGGAGAATCCTGTGGCTAAGCTAGTTAGCGACCCCTGGTCCTGCGCCGCGGTCACTAGCCAGGTTGGACTCGGTGCGCATTGCATTCACCAGTTTTCTGCGGGACTCGCAGCACTGAAAAGTGTGCTTGTATCCTGTGCGGTGCAGCGGGCTTGACGCCTAGGGCAGGGCAGGGGTACTCAGGGTGGGCTGAAGGGATCTGTAAATCTGCAGAGGGATTGCAGGTGTATTTTTACCTTTCCCTTGAGTTAGATCGCAGCGGACAGCCACTTTGGCTGCTGTGCATTCCACTTTTCTGGGTTTATTAATAAGCTAATGGCTCCTGTTGGTTTTAATTGCTGTTCATGATAAATTAGTTAGGGATTTATATTCGTACGTGTGTAAGTACATGCTTGTGTCTGTCTTGGACTATCTGCCTTTAAACATGGAAGCCTTTGTTGTGTTTAACCTCCCCCACCTCAGGACAGTGTTATTTTAAAATAAAGCTTTTATACAGCGTGGGTGTATTTTATAATAAGTACTTGTAAGGATCTGCTTTGTATGAGGATCTGCTGGGGCAGAGGGTGTGTAACCCTTTGGATGGTGGCCCATGAGAGTGAATGGAGGGCCTTCACCGCTTGCACTGCTGCTAGATTTCCCCAGACTCCCTATCCTTGTGTGTGGCCGAGTCAGAGGCGGATTGCGGGAATTAGAGGGATTGGAGGAGAATCTCTTTCTGTACTTGTGCCTTTCTGTTGGGACCCTCCCTCATCTTTCTTTTTTGACCGGGTGAGTTCAAATTTAAACTAAATGGAAAACATTTTCTTTAAAGGGAACCTCTGAAAGCTAGTATATGACATGGGCTTATTTAGCCATGACTTAAAGGGGATGTTTTAGTTTCTACCTTGCTTTGGATGAGACAGTTAAATTGCTGTAATTAAGGGTGGATCTCTGTCCTGATTTTGGCTTGGGTGTAACTGCAAAGATCTTTGAAAAGTAACTGTTCTTGCCTACCATATAGTCTGCAAAAGTGAGTCACAATAGGGTGAGTTGAGGACAGAGCGCCACCTTTAATTTAAAATTTCATGATTTTGTTTTATTAAAATTGTGAAAATTCTGAGTACGCCTTCTTGATTTTTATTGCAGTTGTCGTTACTGACATCTTTATATGTATAAGATGATTTTGTCTTCATTTTTCTGTAATTCCTCTTTTGGGGGGGATTTCTGCAATTATATGGGAAGTCATAGTTTTTAAATTTAAGCTTGGGGTTTAGTGTAGGATTCTGAGATGAGGTGAGAAACTAAGGGTAATGAGGTCTCAACACTTCGGAAAAGAAATAAGTAATAGGACAATAGGTACATTGGTAAGTGGCAACTAGCCATTGTCACCAAATAAGGGTACCTACCAGCATGATTGTGGTCTTACTTTTTTTTTTAGTTTGTGTGCTATTAACATTCTAAGTAAACATGTAAAGTTATTAACCTTGCTTGAATAAGGGATAGTAACTCTTTTTGTTTGTCATCTTCCAACAGCTTACCTTTTATGGTTTTACTGAGAACTTTACAATTACTGTACCTGTTTTTATTTATTCATTTTTTATTTTTTTTTAATTTATTTTTAGAAAGGGGAAGAGAGGTAGAGAAACATATGTGTGAGAGAAACATTGATGGGTTGCCTCTTGCATGCCCCCAACTGGGAACCTGGCTGGCAACCCAGGCATGTACCCTGACTAGGAATTGAACCGGTGACCTTTTCAATTTGCAGGCCTGCACTCAATCCACTGACCCACAGCAGCCAGGGCAAATTCTTTAATTTGGTATTGTTTAAAAAAAAAAAAACAAATTAGGACTTGCAGCAGGACTTCCATTCAGAGTTATTAAAGACAGTGTTGGAAAAAATGGTTTCCATGTCTGGCTCCTCTCATGTGTATTTCATATAAAGTTAAATGGAGTTTTTATTGCTTAGAAACCAAGTGCTGTAGTGACAGTTGAATTGGTGAGATTTCCTTCCCTGCCCACTTTGCTTCCTCCTGTCCCCCTCCCTCCCAAATAAAACATTTAAGGCACACTATCTCTTCACACTATCTCTCAGGCTCAGAATGTTTTCTGATTATTGTGGCTGCAAATATACCATAAAGAAACAAAGATTTAGCTCTTAATGAATAAATCAATACATGGATACTACTAAATATAGTTTTAATTATAAACTACAAGCTATTTTTGTCCTATCTGCATTTAAGTTTCAGCAGTTGGGATTTCTTCAGAAACTACTATAAAACATAAGCTATTGAACCATAGGTAAATTTTATTAAGTTAAAACTAAACAAATCCACTTGAAGTGAAAGATGGTTTAGGCTTGATCAATCTGTGGAATATGACATTGAGCAATTAGGTTGATGCATGTATGCAGAGTAATTGTACATCATTACTCATACTTTGATAGGATATCTTGATTTAGGGATTTCATTTGTCTGGCAGACTTCATTTTGGACAAAACAATCTCTTACCGTGTGAATTGAGTTGTATAGGTCAACAGGTGTTAAGAGGAATGGTTAATTACAACCTGCATTGCTGGTCTTTTCAACACTAGCCAAAAAGAGTATTTGCCCTTTTTATCCTTTTATCTTTTTACACATATGCAGTTGAAACTTGTTGTTTTCACTTTTTAATTCCAGAATTTTGTGATGAATGACGGAAAAACAACCTAGTAAAGATTAGGAAGCAGAAACTTAAGAATTATATTTTTACAGTCTGGGTAAGAGTATTTACTCACCTGGTCAGAAAAGCATAATTATTTTCTGGTAGGTGTCATCATATATAGAAGGGTGCTGAGAGCAGCTTATGTGGGAGTTTATAAAATCTGAGACAGCACTGAAGAAAATGATAAAATAGTTATGGGCATAATTTTCAAAAAAATAACTTTTAAAGACACTTTTTTAGCTTTTACAGATGTTCTGTATATAAACATATAGTGTCTTGTTAAAATTGTTATGGAAATTGTGAAATATATGGAAGTATAGAGAATAAATGCAATTGTCAACTCATATTTATCTAATATCATTTATATCTGTACACAAGAAATAGATGTTATAAATGGGGACATAGTACAGGTAACTTAATTGGTTTTTTTATGTTTTATATTTATAATTTACAGAATATACTTACAAATATGCTCTATATCCAATGGACTCTGAAGGGTCAGTTTTTATATTCATTGTTTCTGTATACAGCAGCCACCTAAAGATTGTGTTTCTCAAATTTTGCTCTCTTAATAACAATGCCCTTGATTTATGAAGTGCTTTACAATATTTCAGAATGCATTTTACATATTTTCTTATTTGATTCTCACAATATATGATCCTGTGAGATGAGTAAACAACTGTACTGTATTCCCCCATCCTGCCCCACCACATGTCCCCACATGTAAAATGATTTGTCTGGGTTCTAAGGTTGCATAGCCAGCAGCCAGATTAGCCAGAACTAGAATTTAGGTGAATTGTAGTTTTTGCTGCATTGTTCTTTCCATTATATGTGTTTATGTAGGTTTATGAAAGTTATGTATAAATTTATGAAAAATCAGTTTCTGACCAGAGTATATTTTATAGTTTAATATAAACAAATTTGTTTGGGCTTAGCTTTATAAATTTAATCATTGCTTGTATTTGGTGTAATGTAAACAGTTCATAGCCTGATTTACTTAACAGCTGAGTAAATGAATTTGAACATATTTGAAATACTATGTTTTTCATATCGGGGGTTGCATTATTTTTAAGTTAGCAATTTTGTTTTCAAAGACCTGTTGGTCTCTGAAATGATTTAGGTGTGTCTTAAATTTGGAGTTAAAAATAAAATGGCTTATGTTTCTTTTAATTCCTGCTATAATTTTTTATGTACTTGTTTTTCTTCCACAGTATGTTCATTACCTAAATCTTGAAATATTAATTTGTGTAATAAAATTTAGTTTAAAAAGTCTGAAGCTGAGAGATTTTAGTTCTTGAAATCCAAAACCTTATTATATATCTCACAAGAAAGGTAGTGGTTCTCCAGCATTAGTGTGCATGAAGATCACCCGGGGGAGTTAATGAAGGTGCAGATTCCCTGGCATTGCCTCTGAAATTCTGATTCAGCAGATTTGGGGTGGGGCCCAATATCTGCATTTTGAATAACATTGATGTTGAATTCATAACTAGGTTAAAATTATATCATGTAGTAGAGATGCTTTTATAAAATAAAATTAGAAGGACATCATTGATTTATCGGGTTGACTAAAATGTTCATTTGTTTTTTTACATTTGTTGTTTTTTGTAAGATGACT